TTGTTGGGCAGGAAGCAAATGTAGGACCAGATCATTCCCGCCTTTTCTCATGCGGGTGACGACTGGAGCAGGAAACCTGCTCCTTGGGCCCAAAGCTTGTCCGGAGGGGGGTGGGTTGAGGCAATGTGGCATCCTGTCCTCTCCAAATGGGCAGGAACCTCTGCACATTTGGGACGCTGCTCTTTTAGGGAGCTGTGGTTTGGTGGGCGAGGTCAGGGCAGCACCCCTCCCTCCAGCCTGGATGATCTTTACTTTGGGAAAGAACTTGCTGTGGGTCACTTGACCACAAGACGACTGTGGGGCAGAGGATAAGTGTGTGCAAGCATTAGAACAGCTAAACAGCAGGGGAACCGCATCCCTTGGTTAAGAAGAGGCAAGAGATGAACTTTAGGCTAAATAGCAAGAAAAAAAATCCACCTTGTTCAGCCATTGACATCCATGCAAACAGGATGGTGGCACTGTACACCCACATCGTGCTGCTTAAAGGACAAGGTACAGGGCCATGGACAGTCAGGTTTTTCCTGCCTCCAATTCCTCTCGCTGACCATATGTGACCACAGGAGCAGCCCCAGGCAGGGGTCTAGTGCTGTCATCACCTAGTTGACCTTGCAGTAAAAAGAAAGTGCCTTGTCTTCAGTATGTGTTTACATTGGGATCGTTCACCCACACTAGTTACCCCAAGGTAAAAAACAACACACTCTTCTAGTCGTGAAGCCGAGGCCTGAGAGACCCACAGATGCAAGGGAATCTGGGTGGGCTAGGAGAATAATAATTGGGTCAGTTCTCTTCCTGTAAATCAAGAGGAAAGCCTGTTTAGCTTAGCTCAGTGGTCTCCAAACTTTTTTGATTGTGCACCCCTATCAGTAAAAAATTTTGAGCACGCACCCCCTGCCGCGCCGGCTCTACCATTTTTGCCGAAGGGGAAAAAAAAAAAAAGCCGCTCAGACTCCCGAACTGCCGAAGCAAAGAAAGAAAGAAAGAAAGAAAGCGCTCCTCCTGCCGCGCACCCCCAAGGATCCTCTTGCACACCCCCTGGGGTGTGCGCAGCCCACCTTGGAGACCACTGGCTTAGCTTATAGCGAGGTGTGAGACTAGACGCGACTAAATATGCATGAAGGCTATTGCTTTAAAATCAATTTTTCTCTAATGCTTCGCTCCAACTGCTAGCTAGATAAATACACTTTGTTTTAAGGAGCCCGTAGGTCACTATCACCCGTCTCAGGCTCCCCAAGGGAAAAACCCAGTCAAGTCTGCAGGGCTAAGAGTGGGAGAGTTGCAAAGTTCCACCCCAAAGCAGAGAAGGGCAAGAGGGTCAGGACACAAGCTGGGTGCCAGAGACCAGAGAGGGGACAGAGGGTCAGCTAGCTAGCTAGGATTACAGAGCAAAGCAAAAAAAACCCAAACAAACCTGTCCTGTCTGCGGATTGCAAGTAGTTACAAAAATAAAACTTAGATAGAAAGAATCACAGTTCTCTGCTCCTCCTGGGTAACATCCCCATAGGGGCAGCACCACTCCAGATTGGGGACAGGCTGCTGGTGCTTCTCGGATCTGTACCCGTGGAAGATAAACAGTCAAACATCCAAAGGCTGGGAAACTGATTGTTAGAACAACAGAGAAAACGAGAGTATAATGAAGTAGTAAAAGAGTAATAAAACGTGAGACCGGAGCTTTGTGTAGCTTTAAATCGGCAAAATAACCGGCCACATGATGGCATTGCAAGGCAAGAAATGAGACACCCTGGTAGGTATTCTATACAGAAGCCTGATTGAGACTTGTTTCACTCTATTCATCTAAATTCAAAGGGAGAGAGATGCAGAGATGGAGCTAATAGGTGATTATAATGTTAAAATCAGCAGCGTGCTAGAACTCCATGCACCTATGTCATACTACAACACCTCATGCCTACGGGCTGCACAAATCACTGAGGCCTGCTTACGCAACTCATTGTGGCGTGCGCACACACACACAGCTCATACCTTCACAGCTGACCATCATTCGACCAGCACACTCGCACCATAATTACAACACTTCGCACCTTCACACTGTACCTGCATACCAGCATCCCTTCAAATGTACCAACCTTCCTAGTCACAGACTTACTCACTGATCACACATGGATCGCTGCCGCCCTGCTCCACTGCAGGGACACATCTCCATACGCTGTACCCAGTAAATTGATTCCCATTGACATAGTGCTCTGGGGGTCCTTATCAGTTTCTCCCACTTTAGGGCCCTTGACATTGCCAGAGCCCTGTAAAGTGACCTGAGTATACCTGAGAATTAGGATCAGTTACCGCTCACTTACACACCTCACATCTGGTCCAGGGCAAGTTCTGCTCATTACTAGATCCAAGAGAGCCAAGCTGTATGGGAGTGGCTAAGGGAAGGCTTTAGCTCAGTATTTACAATACTAGATCAGTGGTTCCCAAACTTGTTCCGCCGCTTGCGCAGGGAAAACCCCTGGCGGGCCGGGCCGGTTTGTTTACCTGCCGTGTTCGCAGGTTCGGCCGATCGTGGCTCCCAGTGGCTGTGGTTTGCTGCTCCAGGCCAATGGGAGCTGCTGGAAGCGGTGCGGGCCGAGGGACGTACTGGCCGCCGCTTCCAGCAACTCCCATTGGCCTGGAGCAGCGAATCGCGGCCACTGGGAGCCGCGATTGGCCGAACCTGCGGACGCAGCAGGTAAACAAACCGGCCCAGCCCGCCAGGAGCTTTCCCTGCACAAGCGGTAGAACACGTTTGGGAACCACTGTTCTAGAGGAAACAATTGGTGTTTGTCTAGAGCCTGATTTTGAAAACTTGCTTCCAAATTTACATCTGCAATTTTGTGGGTGACAAGAATTGTGAGTGACATTTTATTGCACTTAAATATTTAGGGAAAAGTTTTCAAAAATGGGCCCTGACTTTTGTTGCCTCAAGTTTTGGGTGCCCAGCTTAAAACACCTAAAGTTGAGCACCCAAAAAAATGTTGGCTTTAGCTACGTGACTGCAGCCAGCAAGCAGGTAGTTAGAATCGCTGTGCTGAGATGAGGCCACAATCATGTGGGCCTGCAATGTCAGAGGCCAGGCTAAGACTCTCTTAAAAATGAGGACTTAGTCTGTTACTTTGGCTCAGATAAGCACTGTGTACCCTCAAACATGAGAGCTGGCAGCATTTTGACTTAACTACCTAGGTGAGGGTAGATGCAAATTTAGTCAGTAGAAGCACCAGAGTGATTTTCACTGAATCATTCAACAGTTTATAGATGGTAACTTCTTCCTTTTTTCCTCTCTAAGGCAAATAACTGAAGTATTTTCAATTGTTTAACTGCATTCCTCTATACCAGAACACTGCACACCCGTAGACACCTGGACAGGTGAAAACTTAGTTACGCTTGTATCATTTGCCTTATTCAGTGAATTAACTCCTCGTATTAGTCCCAATTTATGCCTTATTGAATGGTCCAGATTGATTGTGGACTTTAGAAAGGTGTTGGCCTCCTGTACTGTGAAAGGAAAATCATTAGACAAAAAATTCCCAAAGAGTTCTGGGTCCCCATCCAAGGCCAAGATGTTCTGGAGGACTTTGTGCATGGAGTACAGCTCTTTACAGTTTTCCACGAAGATTCCCCATAAGGACTGGTTCCTGTACTCCTCTGTTGGTCGAATCTGCAGCCTGTCCTCAAGGCACTGCAACACCCAACTCAAGCGGCATGGCCATTGATTAGCCATGACCACCCATGCAGCCACGGACCTTGGAGACATTGTATGTCTCATAAGGTTCTGCTGCAGCATGAGTCTGATGGTGATGGGAATTGTGTTGACTATCCTTTTCATTTGAATAATGCTATCTGGAATGTATTTATAGAGACAATCAGTGTCATCGTGCAGAGCATGAAATGCTTCATGAATATACCTCACAGCTTGAGCATCGATTTGGCTTTGGTCCAATTCACTGGACATCTCCATATCTACCAGCTTTATCATTTTCCCCTTTACGTTCCTGACTCCCCTTTCCATGTTTTTTGTGATGATTTTGTACATCAGGTCCTCCCGGCTCTGGACAGCATCTTGCAAATGCTGCAGTTTGGACTTTGTGCCCATCTCTGGTATTGAAAAAGGCAAAGTCACCGTGCGGTTCAGGAACAGGTACCCGTTGTCGGCCATTCCTTTCATGCAGCTGGTTTGTTCCAAACACGATGCAATGATGCTGGGATCTATCACCAGGATGAAAATGAACGGGGCGTTAGTGTCCGAGAGCAAAGTATTTATTGCATTCAAAACCCCAACGACCCTCTCTGGGTAGCACATATCCAAACTGGTGATCTCCAGCACTATGCGCAGCCGCCGTCTCTGATAGATCTCCATGTAATACACAAAGCTGGTCAGCATCTCGATTTCCTTCTTCACTTGGCTCATGAAGCCTAGGTGACTGCTAAACTTCTCACTGTCTGTCATCTTCTCAATTTTCTGCTTCTGGCTGATAACCATGTTCTTAACCACAGAGAAAACAGTCACTAATATTCCTGATCCAGACAGGCCGGTGGTAGCACTGCCAATGACCTTTAACGCACTGCTGTCTTTTATTCCTGGAACAAAGATCGCCACTGAGAGCAGGCTTACGCCCGACACTAGGACAAACACGAGGCCTCCTAACGTAAGACAGGTCCGCTTGTTGAGAAGCCATTCGTCTTGGCTAAAGCCAGAGGCAAATCTGGGCCTTTTCCCCATCACGTGGTAAAAGCTCAAAGGCAGGGCACCAAAGTGCTTGCGGATGCTTTGACAGAGTGTGGTGACCAGCCCTGCCCACAGCTTGTCGCTGCCGGCATATTGCCAAGCACTAAATCTGATGAAGAGGAACTGAATGTTCTCCCTCCTCAGGTGGATTTCAGTGATCACTGGCTGGTAGAAGAGCAGATACCACAGGAGAAGAAAATAGCCCCAACCTTCAGGTCTTCTTGGCTTTTGGTTTGATTTTCTCAGCTCCTCTTCTTCTCTCTGAATGGATTCTTTGAGCATGCAGGCTGGAGAAGCAGAAAAAACAATTGGTTACCCTGCTGTATGGCACCGTGTCGCATTAAGGGGAGGTGGGGAGGCCCTTCCAAACAGGTCACGTGGCCCTGATTTGTTGTCTTACTGGGTCGCTGAAATAAACTGTTTAATAGGGTGCCATAGGGATCTGTGCTAGCTTTGGTCTGTCTTAATTTAACATCTTCATTAATGATCTGGAGAAAAGGGATAAATTGCATATTAGAAAAAATGGCAGATGATTTTAAACGGAGAGGTTCTGCAAACTTGGAGGCCAGAGAAATAACATGAAGGGACCTAGAGAGATTTGGAGAAGAGTCAGAAAAATTCAGCTTGAAAGATGCAGCCAGTGAATCCCAGGGAAAGTATCCCAAACACATATACTCCAAGGGTGACAGGGAAGGTTGGTGTGTGGCAGTGGGCAGCAAATTAGAAAGGAGCTTGAAATGTTATAAGGCAGCAGATGAGACCACTGCACATGTGGGCAGCATACGCAAAGAATCACACTACAGAGCAGGGGGACCTGGCTTGGATGCAACTGTCCCTGGGACGTTGTGTTCAGTTCACAGGTGTGCAAAGTAGCTGAATTAACTTTGCTGCTGGAATCTTAACTATAGTGTTTCCTGACTTTCTGGAGTTTTAATGGAGGCTTATTTCATATTTAACTTCCTTGTTTTGCTTTGGAGGAAATTGCATGAAATGCATGAGATCCTGGAGTCTTGGACTCCAGTGAGTATTTGCCTGAGTGAAAATTGAAAGACTTGGAAGTCTCCAGGATCTGGGTCCCAGCATAGTATGTCCATGGGCCCATATAGCTCTGAAATGTGCATTCTATTCAGGTGAGAATGGTGGGATGGGCTCCTGTCTTTGCTGCTGAAATGTGATATGTTTGGGGACAGACTGCTGGAAGGCAACTGCCCAGTAGTTTCCATGGGGATCCTGGCAGTAAAGAAGGCAGAACACAGTTCGTTTCTATAAATGAAAACAGAGAATTTGCAGAATATAGTAGGTTGAAACAAACATCACTGAAAAACCCAGAGAGATTGGGGGCTGTGATTGTCACCTGACTCTTATAACAGGGTGTTTGGGGGACTTTTAGTTATGTATTACAATCCTCCTCATGCGAAGTGTCCGAGTAACCTCCTCCAGGGGCGGCTTTGGTTTTTTTGCTGCCCCAAGCACGGCAGTCAGGCTGCCTTTGGCGGTGCGCCTGCGGGAGGTCCGCCGGTCCCGCGCCTTCGGCGTACCCGCTGCCAAATTGCCACTGAAGCCACGGGACCGGCGGACATCCCGAAGGCATGCCGCCCAAAGCGGCCTGACTGCCGCCCTCGGAGCGAACAGCAGGCCGCCCCCCCCGTAGCTTGCCACCCCAGGCACACGCTTC